CTCATCCCCTGTCCAACGTCCACTGTCCATTTCTTATTTTGCAGCTTTTAAGAGAAGGTGTTCACTTTTTGACATGTTTATATTGATGTCTGTATTTTTTTAATACTTTCTGCAGCACTGTTTCTCATCAACAGAAGCTCCATTTAGTGTTTGGCATGGAGTTCATTACTGACCTTGAAATTAAATAATTCAGAATTATATAAAGAAACCTATATTTGGCCCTGCTGCTTCTTCTCAGGGCATACCTGCCCTGTGGGGAGGTAGAATTTAAACCTCCAGAAGGACCAAACCAAGGCCATGCTCTTTTTTAAACATTACTTATTTACCAGAAAGAGAGGCAGTGAAAGGCAGGATGAGTTTTGATCATGCCCGATTATGGAGTGTAATATTGGATAAATGAATACAACATTGTCATGGGCACTTTTTTTTTTCTACCCAGAAAAACAAAATTCTCCTTAAAGAAACAGCTGTGTCCTGCCTGCAGCCTGCAGAAGAATGGCATTAGTCACGTGCAGTCCAACACGTAGCACAATTGTAAAGTTCGCTCTATGAGACTGACAGGAGCTATTCATATCGGCCCTCTCCACCATCTGCCTGAATGGCAGGCTGCGGGGTAGCTGCAGCCCCCCCTCACCGTCTCTGCATGGCCTCAGCACTTAGTGCCTGCTCAAAGTCTGTCCCCAAGTGCAGAAAATCAGGGATTGAAAGCAAAGAGAGGATGTCACTCAGGTCAAAGCAGACTGTCAAGAAGGAAAAGAAAAAAAGGAGTGGGGCGAAAGAATCAAAGCTTTATCTGTTGGGAGAGCCAGGTTGTTCTTCTCCTGGGAGCAGAGGTGTTAGTTTCAACGAGAAGATGAGGAGGGAGAGCAAAGTTGACAACCGGACAGGAGGAATCTGAGAAGAAATTCCATATTCTCCTTCCCTGAGATTAGAGGACTCATATTTTTCTCCCCTGATCTCTGGGGCAGGACCAGGCTGTACGAGGGTCAGTGCCAAGGCAAGACATCCCTGCTGGGGGTGTAGGAAGGGATGCCAAGGGCTTTGGCTGCAGCCCTATGCACACACTGTCAGACATCCCTTTCATATGAACCTACAGGTCCTGAGATGGCCAGCCTCACATCCCAGGCTGAGACCAAGCTCTAAGTCTAGAAAACAACCTGTTTGGAGGCCTGAACACTACCACACTACCTCTCTCCCTCACCCCTTTCCCCCCTGCTACTTTGAAGGTCAGACTAGATGGAGGGAGATTTATTTTCATTCCATGAGTTGTTATTCTTTCTCATTTCCAGACAGTGACATTTTTCCTCATGACAGAAATTTCTGCTATCAGTTCCTGAGGTGGGTGGCTCAGAGTTACTGCAATTCTTTCCTCTCTCATTGCATTTACTCCTAAGGTCACCAAGTTCTTGCAGTATGATGTTAAATAACATCCATTTTTATGCCATCGGTGTGTCATTAACATCTTTTCCCTTCAGTCACTGTCAACATGAAATCTAAAATCAGAATCCCTAAGTAAGAGCGTTAGTTGTCTTCTTCCATCCCAGTACTACTCCTCTCCAGGCCAATACTTCCAGTTTCACACAAACCACATCAGGCTCTAGACTCTCTTTCTCAAGTGTGGAGGCAAAGCAAAGACTTAGGAAGCAGCAAGTGAGTGAAAAGATACTATGCAACTGAAATATCTTTGCTTTTAACTGCCTGTAGGGGACAAAGTAAAGGAACAATTCACTGGTGACCCATCTCCTCTGCTCTCCTCTCCCCTTTGGCTGAGATGTAGAAAGAGCTTTGTTTTAGTGGAGTAAAAAGAATTTTTAGGTAACGGAAGCATCAGAACAGTGACCTCTGACATTTCTGTACTGTCGGCTGTTCAGTGAGCTGCCCTTTACTTTACCAGCGTGATTTGGGTATTCCTGCTCTTTGAAATGCTTGTGGCACTTAGGAGAGAGGGATCCCTGCCCCAGTTAATGGTGTGTGTTGTGGTTAGTGCATCTGCTCACATGGTCCAGGACAGCCTGATACTGGAATACCTTTGCTGAATGAGCCCCTCATCCTGGAAAAAAGTCGTGGGAGATTTTGATATAGAAGTGACTACATATTGACATCACTTACAACGAGTGACACTTTAAAAGCACTTTGCAGGTATTTTTGTGCAAGAAAATCTTCTTCATTCAGTCTTGAAGGAAATACTGCATTTTAGAAGAGGTCTGACTGCAATTTTGAAATGAATTGCTTAATACTTGTTCTTTACTTTAAAAAATGAGCCAGAAAACTTTACATACCAAAAATTCCCAAGAAGACAGCTGTCAGGGGGTGACATGTTGGATATGAAGTGGCTCTCCAGCTGGTCCCTGTCTGCATGCTGGGAAGGCATGTGGAGACATTTTTTCAATTGCTGTACTAGTTTGACACGTTCACAGTGGAAAATGATGTATCATTCTTGAGCCTTTGGTTGGTGGACACTTCAAAGTGCATTGGATCCTCGTAGAGGAGTGCCCTATTGTTAATTGTTCCTTTCACATGTACATTGGGATGAACATGGTGAGAGCAGCGAGGAACAAAAGGGCTCCGGTGGCCTCTTAGAGAAAACCCTGTGCAGCTCAACCTGAGTCTGACCTTGAAAGGGTGGGTTGCTCTGGTTTTTAAATCCTGCTTGCTGGTTCATTCCCCTCTGGCACCCCACTGTTACCCAGCTGCAGGAGAATGGGATGCCAGAGCACTGAGCGTAGAAAGCATGGGGAGCCCCTCCACCCCTACCATGTGGTGCCCAAGGAGCCAGATCCTGCACAAGCATCCTTCTGGGAGAGGACTGGCATGGCTGTAGTCTAGGAGCTTGGAATGGGCTTCTGCAGTAAGTATGTTTGAGGGGTGCTGGGTTTTCATTATCTCCCAGTAAGCAGGCAAGGCATATCCACCCTCCTCAGTTAGCTGATCCCTTAGCCGTCAGTCTCAGAGCACAGACTTGGGGTCTTGAGTCCCTGTGATTGGATGCAGATCACATAATACATGGCATGAGTTTATCGGGTCTCTGAGGATACAGTTCATTGACATGCTGAGAACGATCCTTTACTCCCAGGCATCTGTCACATGTCTCTCCGTTTCCCCCTCTTACCCCCTTGGGAAATCAACTACCTTTACTGGGAGACTGTACTGTGCTTTGTGATGTCCAGGCTGGATTTGGAAGTTCAAGCACAGGAGGCAGTTTGTTCCTGCAAACAGAGACATGATCCCTTGGTGTACATCTCTTTCAGTGAGCTAGACAAAACCTCTCCCTGTAGGCTCAAGGGCACAGAAGTGTCTGTGTCAGGCCACAGAGAGGGGCCAAGCTCCAGGTAGCAAATCTTGAAAGAGATGCTCAAATAGGTGACTGGAAATTGCCCCCCACAAATGATCTGAAAACAGAACAGAGGTTTGAGTGCTGGCTAAGTAGATGACAGAGGGTGTAGGCAGGGCTTGCTGCCCCAGGTTTTCTAGGGAATGAACTACTTCTGAAATATAAACTGGAGGAGATAGGCACATCTGCAAGTAGCAAATTAGCCACCCTCTTACAGCCCACTGTGGTGCCATAAACTGTGTAGCACATTCTGTTGCAGGATGTGCTAACTCTAGAGTCTCCCTAGACCTGAAACACCTGAACCTGGCCACCATCACATGTGGCTCAGGCCACACTGGGAGAAATTATGTGAATAGGGATGTCAGTACTGCGTGCACCAGTACAGAGACACTGAAGAGTCAGCCTTGAGGCCTCTGTCCAGAGTTTTGTATAATTGCACAGTCCAGATCTTGACCTCCTCTGATGAAAATTGAATAAAATAAAATAACTATCAGTAAAATAATTGTAAAATATAGCTGTTTTCAACACTCATTGCTCAGGCTTTTGATGCCTTACATCAATAAGGTAGATTTTACTTGCAAAACGGCTTGGACTTCAGTCCCTGCTTTCCCCACGGTATGTGTGTGTTTGGTTTAGAGCTGGTAGCATCTCCCTGACAGTGGGTGCACAGGTACTATGCCCCCCTCCAGTCTTCTCATCCCCAGGGTGCTGTGGACTGGAGATCAGGGGCAATGCTACTCCAGTTGTGGGAGGCAATGAGTCCTGGCTGGCATATAGGCTGCTGCCAGCTCTGTGTCATCACTGTGACCAGTGCACACCAAGGGCAGCTCTTCTGCTCTCCTCTTCCTTCAGCTCTAGGTTTTACTGTGCTATTAAGTAATTGCCACCCCTCAGGGATAAGCCTGCAAGAAGGCGGAGGGCTCACATAACTCTGGATCAGTAAAGGAAGCAGCTCAATTAGCATTTCACACGCCTTTTCTTCCCTCTCTTCTTACCTTCCCTGCAGCGGGCATGCTTTCCCCTTAAAGGATTGTCCTGTTTCTGCTCCTTGCCAGCGTTGGCAGGGTGACAGTAGTCGAGTGTGCAAACTTGTGCTATTGTCCCCAGGCCAGGGGGAGTCATGGAGACCCACTAATATGACACAGGAAAATGTTTGCTGATGGCAATTCTATGGGCTTTGTCTAACTCTTTCTCCATCATGACGACTCGATTTAAGTCTCTAACTGTTTGACTACAGATGCAAGAGTACTATCCAACTCCATCCTTTTGTTCGTGTAGTTTGAATGGGTAATTCAGCTTTTGTGTAACTCAATTGAGGGGGCAAACATAAAGACAAGATTCTTGAGCGCTCAAGCTCCCTTTCCATGGATATCTGCACATCTCTTTAGAGATTTGTTCCTTTCCTACCTTTTTCTGACATCATCCTACCCTTAAAAAAAAAAAATGGCTCTGATGGAGAACGGTTAAAAGTAGGCTAGTCCAGTCCCCCGTATTACATTGTCCTGTGCCAATGAAGCATGGTTAGTATCAGCCCCCAGAGAGCTTTGGGGAGTGCAGGGAAAAGGGTGTCTAAACTTTCCTAGTTCGTCCTCATCCTGAAGCATTTTCACTTCAGACTGTGTTGTTTTTAAAAGAAAGGCTTCCATAGGGGTGAAGAGGATGGGGAGAATGGTAGAAATCGTGGGGAAATGATTGTATTTATTAGCTGTCTTTCTGTGGCTGTCCCCATGGAGACAATTTGTGATGGCAAAGAATGCAAGGAGGGGAGGCTGATGCCTGATTGGGATGCTTTGTATTTGGCAAAGTGGCTTCTGATTGGCCTGGGAGAGCCCCGAACTCGCCGGAGTCGATATTCATTCAGCTTGCTCAAGTGCTTGCTAAACTGCATCCAAACACTGGCGGGCCCTGGCTGCCTCCACCGAGGTTGGCGGTGTGTAACCTGCCTAACGAGATTAGCAGGGAAGGGGCTCTTCTCTGCTGCAACACAGCCGCCAGCACCAGTGAGAAAAGCTGCCGCGCGCCGGGTGAGTGTCCATGCTTGCTTACAGGGAGGCCACCCCGGCTTCTGCCCACTTCAGTGCTATCTAACAAGATTAGGTGCCGAGCTGGCTGGCATTCATGAGCCAGTCCCCGTGCCGGTGTGTGCTGGGGCAGCAGTGCGGGGCTGTGGGCTGTGGGCACGCGTCGGCTCCGACAGGAGTTTGCCTGCATGGAGGAGAGGTGACAGAAACTTGTTTGGGTGGCTGAGAAGTTTGACATGTCCCCCCACCTTTCCTCCATTTGCTTGGTGCTATTTGAACCAAAGCTTCTCGCTCTTAAGTCTGCCCGTCATGTTTTGCAGGTTTGCCAAGGTTGGTCCAAAGCTGGATTATAAACTTTTCATGAGAAACTCTGCACAGTGCATCCAGTGAGATGGCATCAGACAGTGAGGTAAAAACCCTACTGAACTTCGTCAACCTGGCCTCCAGCGACATCAAAGCGGCTCTGGATAAATCAGCTCCTTGTCGCCGGTCAGTTGACCATAGAAAATACTTGCAGAAGCAGCTCAAGCGGTTTTCTCAGAAGTACTCACGGATGCCACGGTGTCACCCCAGCAAACCCTCTGAGTGTGGCTGGCGCAGGGGGGCAGAGGATCGGGGCCGTGGCCCCCAGCCCGAGGCACCTGACTCCAATCCCCATGGTGGGGCTGCCGCTGAGAAGGTGATGCAGACAATTGAGGCAGAGGAGAGCCTCACCGGGGAACGGGTTTTGCAGGAGCAAAAACCTGATGCTATCCGACCGGACCAGGTGCCCATGAGAAAGCGACAGCTCCCTGCCTCTTTCTGGGAAGAACCACGGCCAGCTCAGAGCCTGACGACCAGGGCCTTTCCTGCCAGTCCTGAGGGGCTCCCAGCCCCCAGGGACCCTCCTCCCTATGAGGGGAAGAAAAGCAAACGGAGCCCAGATGCTGCTGACCCAGAGAACCCTCCTGACCCTGCACCACATGCTGGGGAGAAAGACCCAGCCGGGGTCCTCTCAGGCCGGATGGGTGCCTGGACCTGCTGCCCCTTCCCTTGCCCTGGGACAGGGGTGTACCAGCCCCCAGGAGCACTGCCCCCATCACCCTTCCCGGGACTGGGACTGTGGAGGAAGAGTGCAGCCACACTGCCGGCGGAGGTGCCACACTTCTGCAAAGAGGCTGATGGCACAGGGCAGAAACTGTACAGGCCCATGGTTCTGAAACCCATCCCCACCAAACCCGCCATCCCCCCACCCATCTTCAATGTTTTTGGCTATCTTTAGCGGGGCAGGTGTTGGAGTCATACTGAACATGACAGCTTCTGAGGATGAATTGAAATGCCCGGTCAGCCACTGGGCATGAGCTGCTGGCAGCATGGAGGGGCAGGGGAAGGAGACCGGTGATCACACCCTCTTCCTCGTGGGCGGGCTGGGGGGAATTAGTAACTATAGGGAAGCTACTTGGGCTCCACTTTCCTCTCAGTATGCGGGTGTAAATCAGGAATAAACCTTATGAAACTGGTGGCATGGAGCATGAGGCAAACCAGGGCTCTTGCATTGATGGGCATTGTCTGAGCCGCAGTGAGCAGGGCTGCAGGCCATTCATAGCCGCACTTGTAACACCTAGAAGACCTCCTCCATGTGGGAACATCTTTCTGGGGCTGCCCTGCAGCAGCAGCAGTGAAATGAAATTAATTAAACCCATTCAAAAAGTTTTTGTTCTTTAAAGTTATTCCAGAGAAGTCAAGATATTCAGGTCACTTTGTTTTGCATGCAAGAGACTGGAAGGACAGTATTTAATGTAGAAACCACACTTGTGATTGAATTAAGCTCTTGTTATATGTAAATACTGAAATAATTAAAAGAAAAAAAATAAGGGAAGAAAGGAGGTTAATTTTATTTTGGTGATTTATTCCACTGGGTAGACATAGGTTTTATTTGCAATGGATGGGGAGATATGAAGGCTGAAATCTCTGCCTATGCAGACTGATATAACCTTGAAAGTAATTCTGATGCTGGGAAATTAGCTAGCATTAAGCTGGTGCAAATGGAAGCAGGATGAATTTCCACATCAAGAATTGCTCTGCACTAACTGAACAAATGAAGAATTGTATTAGTTTAATACAAAACCATGAAGTACGATAGAAGGAAAAAAGTGTAAAGAATAGCCTGCATTGATTTCTGGCTCACAGACGTCTTTTTTTTTTTTGCCTGAATTTAAGATGGTATCACAATACCTGGCTGTAAATGTTTTGCCTAGTATTTTCCTAATTATTTCAACAAATTGGCATTGGAGAATTTATTACAAAATTTTTTTTTAAGTTAGGTTTCTCTTAAATGCATTGAAAAAGTGGTACTAGGACACAGAACATGAGATCTGGAGGTTTAATATTGCAGATGTATGTATCTATTCAGTTATACTGGAGTATATCATCAAAGTCAAGAGAAGTATATTTTGAGGGGGAAAAGGGCCAGAGAATGGACACCTGTGATATCCCAAGGCCTGAACCTGTACTGTTGCTGAAGCTAATGGGAACTTCACCCATATTCAATAAAAAGTGGCCTTGATCAGTTTGGTCTCTGACTAGTGTAGCTCTTTATGATTCCTGGTATCTCTGCAAGGGGAAAAACAGGCAACACTTTGTTCAAGCACATTGCAGTCAGGCGAAAATTATCGTCTGAGGAAAATTATCATCTGAGTGCCATTTTGGATCTTCTGATGGGCCTTGGTGTTGCAGAACCAGGTTGCAACTTTCGTTAGGATATAAACTACTCCCAGGCTAAAAGTATTTAATTCTTTCCCCAAACTTTATGTATCCAAACAATGTTCACTTTTATGGAAACAACATCTGTAACATGTTAGTAGAGCAAGGCAAAAGTAGAAGTGGAGATGGCTTTCATTGCTTTCTCCCTGCTACCAGCACTTAATGTATGTATCAGTCCTGCACAGACTATTCCTATAGGAGAGAGAGCAGGAACTGTCTTTGGTTCCTCCAACTGCATGCAAGGTGTGAGGTGGTAAAGAGCTGATCTAGATGTTAAAGACATCAGGTTAGCTCTTGATCCAGAAGTGAAGATAGGAACGTAGATGCCTTTCCCTTTCTGGAAAAAATATCTGTGAGGAAACTGTCCCATTCCCAAGGAGACTAACAGAAAACAGAGGCAGCACCCCTACTGAAGTTAATTGGAGAACAACAGCTTTTAATTTACAGAGCTGTAGGCAAGGAATTTTTTTACATGGAAATAGGGGTCCATCAATAGCTCTATGTCACTTTTGTAATCCAGATTAAGCCAGATGTTGAACTCTGTCTCACTACTATCAGTGCAGAGCAGCCTCCTTGGTATTGGTTTGGGTAAGCAGAGCAGGTAATGGAATGAGCTACAGGTATTGCAGAGATTGCTATGCGCAAGTGGTCCTGCTTGAATTCAGAAGGGAAATTTCAAAGTGCTGTGTATCACACCGGAATATGGATTTCCATCAGAATTAAAATACTTGGCAAAGTGGATAGCCTCTGTATAAATTTTATTTCTGAAGAAATCCAGAGAAAGAAGAGAGTTAAAATCAAGATTCTATTTTTTTGAATATTAAATTCTTTGTTTTCTTTTTCTTCTTTAAGTCTTTCTTATTTGAATGTATATTGCTGCACATTTTCAATGTAGTAGAATAGCATTTTTTAAAGGATGGAACCAGATCATTCTAAATGACTTCTGACTCAGATATTTATGCTCTTACTCTCAGATTTAAACTAATGCTATTTTTTAAAATCCTTTGTGACATGGATGGCCCTTGCTGGGGCTTTGAACTGGAGCAGCAGTGAAGTAAAACATAAATGAACAGAAGACAATTGTTAAGTATATTCAGAATCACTGAATGGGGATGTGTGAGACTTTCTAAAAGGTTTGCAGAGAATAGCAACTCTGTCTCCTCTCTAGTAATATGTACTGTTCTCTCATCCCTGAGATTAACATCAGAATTATTAATTGTTCAAGCTTGGATTGATTCAGAATGTTCCTGGACATTTTTGTGTTTGGCTTTTGTTATTCAGGACAGCTGATAACTCTTCAGAATATACTTGTTTATTCATACTTTGTTTGAAAGATGGAAACATAACATTTGAGAGCTGCTATTTACTAGAACAATGCAGTTTTAAACTTCTAAAACCACAATAGCTTTTATAAATAGTGGGAAGGGAGAGGTAAATCAAAAAGCTTTCATACAAAATGAAATTAAAAAAAAAAAAAAAACCACAAAAAAGTGCACAAGAACATCAAGTGAATTGCACATTTTGCAGTAAAAAAAGTACAGTAACCTGGTCGTGAAATATTCCTAGAACATTTCACATAAAGTCATTGTCTTGGAAGGAGTATGTTTATCACACTCAGTAAAAACAAGCCACTTTACTTTGCACTAGAACTACTGATCTGCTTATAAAGCCTGGTTTGGTTGGGTTTTGGGCTTTTTTTCTTTTCACAGTAACTTCTAGGCAGATGCATTAAAGGCACATTGAATTTGTGCAGATTCAGTATTTTGCACAAAATAGTATGTCAATGACTGGAGTGGAGAGGTAGTGGGCTCCATTTCAGTGCAAATAATTGTAAACTGAGTATGTGAAGATTTGCTGTAATGATCAAGCAGAAAGAACTCAATAACATTATAATTACCAAATTGCCCCTCTAATAGACAGACTCTTCTCACTTCAGTTTCTGTGCACAGTGTGCACTTATCCTTCCCACTGTTGTGTTACATTCCCATCAGACCAGTGCTCTCCAGCTTAGTGACTCCTGCTCAGGACGGATGGTTGACAGCAAACCAGGACCTGGGTCTCCCAATAGAAATGAAGTTCTCTTGGTTGAAAGAAGAAATGGGCTTTCCATATTTGTGCCATTCAAACCTAGTTTCAACTTCTCCAAGCACATAAGAAATTGCAACTTGCTAGACTGTTGTGGACACAACAGTGTTGGCTCAGGGGAAATTCCCATTTTAGGATAGCTTATGAAATTCCACCTCTGGTTCTACATGCAGTTGGTGATTGTGAATCCTTTCTATCAGCCAGGGCTGTCACCGTGCTCCAAACAAACATTAAAGTGGTCTCCAGCAAGCTGTGTTTGTATCCATCACCCTCTACAACTCTGCTTTGTTACATTTATTTAATTTCAAGGACTTTTCTTCTGATTTAAATCAATGTGAGTAGGACCCAGACCTTCGCTGTTCATCCCCAGAAAGTGAGAGATGCATGAACTCCACAGGTGATTTTATATCTCAAGGTACTGCTTATCAACACAGGGCCTTCACTTGCAAAACTGGTCTAGAGATTTCCTGTACCCCACCCTTTTCTCTCCATCCAATATTTTTCTAACCTAAAGCAATTCCCTGTTCACAGTGAAGGAGACAAGTGGGTAGATTCTAAATTGACAGTAAAGGAAGTCACTGGATGAAATATCACCTGACTTTCCAAAGCTTTGCAAGAAGATCATCGTTCAGTGTGAATTGAAAGTCTGTTGGTTGTTCAACTTTTGCATTGGGGTAGGGGACAGCTATGGGCAGAATGTCATAGCTGTAACCAATTTTTCTTCTGCTCACATCCTGTCCCACAAGTGCTGAGCACATTTCACACAAAGTCATCACAGAATCTGAACTTGTGTACCCAGACAGACTTATATGTGTGCAACACACTTTAGTCCTGTGTAAAGGTATAAAACTCCACACAAATAAATGTCAGTGCAGTGCATTTTCCTTACTTACATTTCTATCTGATTCCGTGCATGGTATGCAGACCAATAAATAAAACCAGATCTGCCATGTCTCTGGTGGGGACTTCAAGCAGACCATGATGCACAGTTCCTTTATCACCTAAAGTAAGAATGAGTGTGCTTCTAGCATAAGATCTGCACAGATGTCGTTCCAAATTTCGGTTCTTTCATACTTCCTTAGGCACCTAATCAGGAATGAAGCACTCATCAAAGCAGTTCAGCAAGTCACACCTGTCAACTGAGCCATAGTCACTGCCAGCAACCACTCATGGGCTCCTTGGCCTCCCCAGCTGTGAGGGAATGTGACTTGTTAAAAACTTCAATAAAAGAATTTCACGGACAATTATAGTTGTTCAGCAGATAGATGGTAACTTGTTAAGCTGCCATAAATCAGTTGAGGATCTGAGCTGTAAATAGGTGACCTAATTTTCAAAGAAGCTAAGATAATAACTTTTATTAGTGTCAAAGGGAGCTAATAGATATTTCAGACTTCCAAAGTCAGAAAATTCAGGGCTAAATCCTAAGGTTTTTGGTCTGCCTCACTAATATCTGACACTAAATGTGATCCCCCTGGCTTCAGTGGAACTGCACCTGGTACAAGCAACTTGACATTGTTTAGGCACCTGAACAAGGATTTGGAAGCCTAATTCTGGGTTTCATTTTCATAAATTTTGAAGTCTGACTTCCATAATTTTGAAGAAATTTCTCTTTCTTCCATTGATGGTATTGTTATAGCCACAGAGGTCCAGGGAGTCAGGAAAGGCTGGGTTTGTAGAGATAAAATCTTCCAGGGGAGGAACAGATTAAGTTGGTTTAATAGTGTTGCCTCTCTCCTTCACACAACCCTCTGTTCCCTGTCCTCTAGGGCTTTGTTCTGTTCTGAAACCAGACACATGACAGTGTAAACCTACTGTTTACAGTGCAGCTACTTCTCATTTATACCAAGGAAAAAAAAAAGCGCTCAGATTTGCTTTCAAATCCCCAGTCTATGAAATTCTCTCAAGCAGAATGACATTGTAAATGTAATACAGAATGAACTCCATTCACTATGTGCAAATACAGTTCTTACTTCCTCCTTAAATAAACCTTGCCTTGATTTTTAAAGCCTTCATAATTTCTGGATTTTAGTCTAT